GGGCACCCTCACCCCTCACGGCGGGATCTCCCCTGAGGGCGCGGGCCACCCTCGCCCCTCACGGCAGGACGCGCGGGGGGGTATCGCGACTCCTACCGGCTGCAGGAGGCGGCCACAGCGGGGGTGCCGCCCGCCGGGGGCGAGATGCTGGCCCTGCTCCGTCTCCTCCCAGGGGGTTTCTGGCCCGGGGGCTGTGCCTCCATGGGGATAGGGACCGGGAACGGGGCTGGCAGTGACAGCGACAGCGGCGCCTCAGGCCGGCCAGAAATGGCGGCGGCGGCGGTTTGAAAATGGCGGCGGCGGCGTTGGCGGCCAATCAGGAGCGGCGGGGGGCGTGGCCAGAGGGCGGCGGGCGCGGCGCCCCCTGGCGGAGCGCGCCCCGGCGCTGAGGGGAAACTGAGGCACGCGTCCCGCCATTGCCGGGAATGGCGGCGCTGCTGAGGGCGGAGACACCTCGGGGAACGTGGAGCCCGTCCTGAGGCCGAGCAGCGCTTTGTTCCGAGCGCTGAGTGCCGCGTCCTGGCGTTCCGGAAACATCTCCAGGCATGGTGAGTCCATCGCTGCCCTGAGCAGCCACTTCCAATTTTAATCTTCCTTTCTGGTGCCTCAGGTTTGGCTTTTCCGTTTTTGACATTCTGTGCTGGTTTGGTGCGTGGGTCTGAGCTTCACATGAGGGGATGGGGACACAAAACATGCGCTCGTGCATTTTGGGGCCATTTGGGGTCATTTGGGTTCATTTTGGGGCCATTTGGGGTCATTTGGGTTCATTTTGGGACCATTTGGGGTCATTTGGGTTCATTTTGGGACCATTTTGGTTCATTTGGGTTCATTTTGGGACCATTTTGGGTCATTTGGGTGCAGCCCTGCTGGGCTCTGGTGCTGCCCAAGGTGGATCCATGGAGGAGATGCTTGCATAAATCCCTGATTTATTCTTTAGTCCAGCCCCTGCTCCATCAAGCCATCAGTTTGCTGAAAATATCCCCAGGGTGGACACACCCAGCCTGATCCTGCCTTTTCTCTTGGATAAACTCAAGGAAATGAGGTGTTGGAGCAGCAGGAAGGCACAGAAATCCCAGCAGGATTGGGATTTTCAGCCCATCATCAGCAGGAGAATCCCAAAAATTTACCTCAGTCGCCTCTGGGAGAATTTTTGGATACTCTCAGGTACTCTCAGCATCTAGAAATCTGTCCCACGTTGGTGAGATTTGGAATTTTCCTCCATTCCAACCTTTTCCCTCTGCAAAGTGGCAGGGATGAGGAGGGGTCACCTCATGGTGGTGACACCCCAAACCATCCCTATAAATGGGGGTGGCTTTTCCCTGCTTATAAATTGGGAATATCTCCTCTGGAATGCAAAAATTGCCTTTGGAGCAGACAGATTTGGCAGAAAATATCATTTTAACGACTCCAGTGCTGGAAGAGCCTTTTTAAACTCAATCAGGTTTATCCCAAACCATCCCTATAAACGGGAGTGGCTTTTCCCTATTTATAAATTGGGAATATTTCCTCTGGAATGCAAAAATTGCCTTTGGAGCAGACAGATTTGGCAGAAAATCTCATTTTAACAACTCCAGTGCTGGAAGAGCCTTTGAGACTCCATCAGGTTCATCAGGGTGAGCTCAACTCAGACAAAATTCTTTGAAACCCACAAAACCCATTAAAAAAACAAACCCACGTGTGCACAAAGCATTTCACTTTGTTGGCTGGATTTAAGTCAAAATAAAATAAAAATTATAAAAAATCAAAATCAAACAAACGGATCCTTCAGAGATGCAAAACCCACGAGTTCAGCTGCTGAAGTGGAAGGAGAGGCTGACAAAAAGCTGCACAAAAAGAAATGTGAGAGTGAGGATTTGAAGGAATTTAGAAGGAATTTCTCCTTTTTTTTTTTGGGAAAAAGCATCCTCAGACTCGGCATGGAAATGATGCCAAAAAAAACCAAAAAGAAAGGGAATTAATTTTACTTTTTCTTTTAAATTCCAGACTTAAGATGACCAAAACTCTCCAGCAAAGTTGTGCTGCCTTTCCCATGAAAATGTGGAATTTGGGAATCCTTTCCCATGAAAATTTGGAATTTGGGAATCCTTTCCCATGAATTGTGGAATTTGGCAATCCTTTCTGATGAAAATGTGGAATTTGGGAATCCTTTCCCATCAGAGTGTGGAATTTGGGAATCCTTTCCCATGAAAATGTGGAATTTGGGAATCCTTTCCCATCAGAGCCAAAAAAATCAGGAAAAATAATTTGAAAATTTGTAAAAAATCAGGGCAAAAATCGGTAAAAAAATAATCCAAATTCAGCAAAAATATTGGGGAAAAAATCAGCAAAATCCCAGCAAAAATATCAGGAAAAAAGAGCAAAAATTTGCAAAACCCAGCAAAATTCAGCAAAAATATCAGAAGAAAATCAACAAAAATTTGGCAGAAAATCAGCAAAAAAAAAATCACAAAAAAATCACAAAAATATCAGAAGAAAATGAGCAAAAATTTGCAAAACCCAGCAAAAAATAAGCAAAAATTCAGCAGAAAATCAGCAAAAATTAGGAAAACCCAGCAAAATATCAGCAAAAAAACCCAGAAAAATACCAACAAAAATATCAGAAAAAAAGAGCAAAAATTTGCAAAACCCAGCAAAAAAACCCAGAAAAAATATCAGAAGAAAATCAGCAAAAAATCAGAAAAAAAATCAGAAAAAAAAAAAAAAAGAAAAAAATCAACAATTTTCAGCAAAATAATTGGATGTCCAAAGGATTGGTTGCATCAAAAAGTGAATTTCCTTGGGAAGTGCAGATGGAAAAGCAGAGGTTGAAGATCTCTGGGATTCAACTTTTTCCTATTAAAAAAAACCCCAAAATAAATTTAAAAAAGAACATTAAATGAAATATTTTCTCTTCCCTGAAAATAAAGGGGAATAAATAAGAAATTTAAATAAAATGAAATATTTTCTCTTCCCTGAAAATAAAATGGGATAAATAAAAAATTTAAATAAAATGAAATATTTTCTCTTCCCTGAAAATAAAAGGGAATAAATAAAAAAAATAAATAAAATGAAATATTTTCTCTTCCCTGAAAATAAAGGGGAATAAATAAGAAATTAAAATAAAATATTTTCTCTTTTCTGAAAATAAAAGGGAATAAATAAAAAAAATAAATAAAATGAAATATTTTCTCTTCCCTGAAAATAAAGGGGAATAAATAAAAAATTAAAATAAAATGAAACATTTTCTCTTCCCTGAAAATAAAATGGAATAAATAAGAAATTAAAATAAAATGAAATATTTTCTGTTCCCTGAAAATTGAAGAGAATAAATAAGCAATTTAAATAAAATGAAATATTTTCTCTTCCCTGAAAATAGAAGAAATAAAAAATTTAAATAAAATGAAATATTTTCTCTCTTTCCAGGGCTGAAATCTTAATTTTGAAGCAAACCCAAGTGCCCAGGCTGCACCTTCTGGTGAGTGCTGCCCAAACTTCACCTCCGGGATATTTTGGGAATCCTTTGGGATTTGGGATTTTGCCCCGGGGCAGCACTGGGGAGATTTGGGAGGGATTTGGGATTTTTGGGATTTTTGAGCTCTGAGCTGTGGCTGTAAAAATCCAGCCTGGAGCTGAAATCCCGGGAAGTTTCTCTCTGCCACCACCACAAATTCCATTTTTCCTTCCCATTTCCCCCAAAAAAACAAAAAAAATTGGGTCTGGAGTTACCAAAAAAAAAAAAAAACAAAAAAAAACCCCTAATTTAGTGAGGAAAGCACTGAAATTCCTCATTTTCCCCTTCACATTTCCCAAAAAATTCCTCATTTTTTCCTTCATATTTCCCAAAAAAATTCCTCATTTTTTCCTTCACATTTCCCAAAAAATTCCTCATTTTTTCCTTCATATTTCCCCAAAAATTTCTTATTTTTTCCACTGAAATTCTTCCTTTTTTCCTTCACATTTCCCAAAAAATTTCTCATTTTTTCCTTCACATTTCCCAAAAAATTCCTCATTTTTCCCACTGAAATTCCTCATTTTTTCCTTCACATTTCCCAAAAAATTCCTCATTTTTTCCTTCATATTTCCCCAAAAATTTCTCATTTTTTCCATTGAAAATCTTCCTTTTTTCCTTCACATTTCCCAAAAATTCCTCATTTTTTCCCTCACATTTCCCAAAAAATTCCTCATTTTTCCCAATGAAATTCCTCATTTTTTCCTTCACATTTCCCAAAAAAAATCCTCATTTTTTCCACTGAAATTCTTCCTTTTTTCCTTCACATTTCCCAAAAAATTTCTCATTTTTTCCACTGAAATTCCTCATTTTTTTCCTTCACATTTCCACAAAAATTCTCATTTTTTCCACTGAGATTCCTCATTTTTTCCTTCACATTTCCCAAAAAATTCCTCATTTTTTCCTTCATATTTCCCCAAAAATTTCTCATTTTTTCCACTGAAATTCTTCCTTTTTTCCTTCACATTTCCCAAAAAATTCCTCATTTTTTCCTTCACATTTCCCAAAAAATTCCTCCTTTTTCCCACTGAAATTCCTCATTTTTTCCTTCACATTTCCCAAAAAATTCCTCATTTTTTCCACTGAAATTCCTCATTTTTTCCTTCACATTCCCCAAAAAATTCCTCATTTTTTCCACTGAATTTTGGGGTTGGGATTGCTGAAAAAGACATCATTTAGTGAAGGAACCACTGAAATTCCCCATTTTTTCTCCGGAAAAGCTGAAATCCCAGGAAATTTCTCTCTGCCACCACCAGCTCCAGAAATTCCCTCTTCACATTTCCCAAAAAAACCCAAATTTTGGGTTTGGCATTGCCCAAAAAGGCGATTTAGTGATGAAACCCCTAAAATCAGGGAAATTCGGGATACATCCAAGGATAAAAATTCCCAAAATCTTCACGTTCCCGCTCCAAACTCCAAATTCTCTTCCCATTCCCAAGGCTCAAATCCCATTCCCTGCTCCAAATCCAGGAATTTTGCTCTAATTTGGGTTTTTTATTGGGAATTCCAAACTGGAGCTGGTGAGAAAATCCCAAAAAAGCTGAAAAAAGGGGAAAAAATTCCTGCTCCTGATCCCATTTGGGATATTCTTGTCTCCCCCAATCCAGAGCTGGGATTTGGGAATG